AACTCTGATTTTTTTCTTCACAGATGCCGCCGGACCTGCTGAGCTTTTCCAGCAACTTCTGTTTTTGTCCATTCTTTAATAGGAGTCTGGCCAATTAAAGCTGATTTATCAGACTTTGTAGAGCATCAAGGCAGAGCCCAGTTGATCCAGATCTTAAAATCTCAATTAGTAATAAGAGATGTTGCTGAAAAAAGTGGTAATGATTTTCTCCTCGAGTATTCCTTTCTAGGCTTAGCACTTGCAACAAACAAGAAACTGGATGGAAGATTGCTTTGTAGGTCAAAGGATGTGTGCGAGCAATCTGGAATTGATACTTTTAGATTTGTTCCTTCACTGTTTCCGCTATCTGGTAATTTCCATTTGCAGGGAAGCAAAGATTGGGAATAATACCAGTGCTCTACCGTAAGCCACTGTTACACAGATTGATACCTAATAAAATATATTGGTTCCGATGGATGCCAAAGTAACATATGATCTTGCAATAGGAATGGGCGGGTGCAGAAAAGATTGTAATTCACCTGGATGCTTCCAAAGGTTTAAACCTCTGTTTCCTGTTCTGGCAAAAGAGAGTGTGGTTATTTCTGAATTCATTATCCAGTCTCCTTAATATTAAATTCACAAATATAAATATTGCACAAACCAATGCCTAAACATTCACAAAGTTTGAACTATTACTTTAGAAATCAGCCTTAGCAATGGACAGGACTTCTAAAGGGGTCATGAGCTGAAATTTTAGGGTTGCAAGTTCTGTGGCAGCAAGAGCTAAAAGCTGCATGACCCCTTTAAATTGTCGCACCTTTCACATTAGTGGGCATGACCTAACTGACTAATCCTTGAGGCCTGAATGACTTAGTGTTGTCCATACCCTTCTTTCCTCTAGGTCTGAAGTAACAGCACTTTTGAAACACCAAAACTGGATTGGAATGGGAAATGTTTAAGATTAGCTCTGTCTTTACAACACTTTATTTGCTTATTTTATGATGTATTGTGCCTTTTACAAACGTAATTATCTGCAAGAATCAATTTTTAACATTTTTACAAAACCTTTAAAGCTATGTGTATATAGTGATCCAGAACTGATATTAAAATAACTGATAACTGACTAGTCTCATCAAATCCTATTGCAATATAATTTACTTTCTTCATTTAGTCCTGTATACCTTTTTATAAGTGCTGATAATTTGAATGTAAAATAACTTGTGCAATAGTTTAATGAAGACTAAAAACTTAGTTATCTAGTACAATTACCAAAATAACTTTTTATATTTTCCAAATACATTGTCAGACTTCTTAAATTTGAATCTATGCCATGTACACTAATTATGAGCAATATTATATTCAAATAGGATCTCATTATCTAAATACAGAAATTTACTTCAGTACTATTGCAACAGATTTCACAATCTTTTACTGTTATTTGAATTTTCAATAATTATTTCTCTAGTAGTAGAAAATTCACAGGAACATGAATTATTTGTAGTTTATTGTTTTGCAGATGATTTAGGATATAGTGTTCAATATTAGTAAAGATTATTTTGGCCTTATTCTTAGTGATCAGTACGGTAGTTTTGTTGAATTGCTCCAATGTGGAATGCATTCTAGCTATTTGACCATTTCAATCTTCCCTCTAGTATGTCTGCTCTGCCTCCAGCTGTGAGAGTTATAGCAAGCTGTGTAAAATCTGAGCATTTTGGCTGATTTTGAACACACATTATCTCCAAAAACAATATTTTCATAGTGGGGCATATTGTGTAAAATGGTGATGCAAACAAATGCATTATGTATGATGTTATATTGTGAAAAGTCACTTGACCTAGTTAGATATTCCAAAACCAAATCCATGATAGGATTTGGTTACAGATTCAACAGTAGCCTTCAAAAGGGAATTTGATAATACTTGGAGAAAAAAATTGCAGTGATATGGGAAATGAACTAACTAAGTGGGACTAACTGGATTGCTCTCAAAGAACCAAAGTGATGGGCTGAATGGACTCTGCCATACTATCCTTTATTTTATGAAATTAAAACCTCAAGTATGCACACCAAAAATAGCTAACTTCACCTCCATGTGATGCACTTGTGTGTACTGGAAGTTACTTACAATAATTTACTTATTGACAGCCCATCACTAAGACTAACATCAGAAAGGTTCTGTTCCAAACTTTTGGCAATACACAGGGCCCTATTCAATGCAGGCAGAAAGAATATGTACATGTTCTGCACCTGTTTTAATTCAACAAAATAAGTGAAATCTATTCACTGGCTCATTGGTCGGGGTTTGTCCTGAGTAATCAGTCAACCTGACTGGTTTAAAATATGAACAAGGCCTGGTAGATAACTGTCAATCAACATCAATGGTTGCATTCTGCATGGCATCTCCCCACTTGCCAATCAATCAACACTGTCGTGCAGTATAAATGTTAGCTTCCCTTGAGTGTATTTCTGTGAGTGTAAGACGAAAAAACTGGGACAAATATCCTTCCTTTCTCAGTAGTGCTCAAATTCTGTATAACCAAACGACTATTTTAGCAGCAATTAAGAACATATTATCTCATAGTCAAACCAGCTTGTTGCAAAAGAAACATTGACATATTTCACATAAGTGAAAAGTCGTAAAGATTGTTTGTAGCCAAATGATTATTGGTCATGCTTGGAGGCAGTAATACCAGATTAACTCTAGCACATTTGTCAGACATGGGTTTTTTTTTTGTAGTTTTCATTTTCTCTCGCCTCAATCTTCCTATTTTAAATTTGAACCCCAACATCAGTTAATCATGAAAATGTACTTTTTAACTGGCTGACTGTGTTTTAACTTGATAGCATCAGTATATGCGTTCTTTAACAAAAATATTGGTATCCACTGAATTTGCAGAACTGGAGGACATGAAGTGTGGAATGGAACATGTTTTGCCCCATTAATTCAAATGTCTAGAAAATTCAACATTTCACTGTCAAATAAAGCTTTATACATATGTTTCTGAATATATTGTGCAGATATCAGAAAAGGCAGGCTATTTCCTGTGTTGGTCAGAACTGTTTCTGTACTCTATTGCTTGAAATCCTGAACTGTTTCCTGATACTATATTTGCACGATGTGTAAATTCTCATCTTGCAGAAGGAATTAATGTAGAATAGTTGGCTTATAACTTTACAATTGACCTTTTAGTTCAAGTTACAAAGAATTGGGCCTCCACCAGACAGCTGCACAATTTAAAGCCCAGGCAATGACTTTGGCCCTCATCTAAACTCACTGTTGAGTTTTGAAAGTTATCCCAGAGTACCAAAAGTTTGGACCAGAACTTTTCTGATGTTAGCCATATTGATGAGCTGTCCATAAGTAGACTAATGCTCCAAGTGCCAATTACATAAAGGCATTATCATAATCGAGCTCAAATTAACTGCCATTAACATCTCAGACTTTCATATGGTAAAATACTTAAAGAATCAAACTTTGCCTGCTGCCACTAGCTTTAAAAATGAAATCGGCAGAGCAAAAGGATAAAATGAAACTGTAAAGTTTCAAAATCTGTAGATAATTGGTGTATCAGTATGTTTTGGCACTATAATATTAGAGATGAAATGTTGTGGTGAAATCATGATTTTTAATGTTACATCTTTGAAAACAAATATTTCTCTTCATGTAATGCATCATGTCAACGTCTTAGAATGCTTGACAATAAACTAGCATTGAAGACTGTTATATAGGCCACTAACATTATTGAGGCATGCAGAAAAATCTTTTTGGTATAAATACGTTTTCAAGCTTCTAATGAGCCTATTCATGATTTACCAAAAAAGAAAACACAAAATGCGGGTGAAACTTGGCAGGTCTGGTAGCATCTGTGGGGAGAGGAAGAGAGTTAATGTTTTGAGTCCAAAGGCTCCTCTTCAAAGATACCAAATGCCATTGTTTTTGTGATTGTAATTTGTGTGGCTGAATATTAATCGAAAAAAAATTGGGAACACTTGTGTGCATTACTGCCACAAGTAGAAATTTACATCAAATTCTACAACACAAATATCCAAAAAATAATGTGTTTGTAGTTGAAGGCATTGTTTTGCATTCTTCACCTTTCTCAGTACACATCAATAAATATGATGTCCAAAATGTTAACATTCCCAGAATCCTGTGGAGTAAACTCAATATTTAGCCCATTCAGCTTCCATAAGTCAATGCCCTGATATTTTAATTTTGTGAAAATTTGAATGTAATTTTAGTAGTTTGTTAAACTCTTTCTGCAGTTGTAATGATCTGTTGTTTTTATTTATATTGCTTATAGCCATGGCCAAGTGTATCAAATCTAGCCAAGGATTTTATAGACCGACTGCTTACTGTGGATCCCAGTGAAAGACTAACTGTGGGCCAAGCCTTGAAGCACCCTTGGATAGTAAGCATGGCAGCCTCCTCCTCTATGAAGAATCTGCATCGCTCTATCTCTCAGAACCTTTTGAAAAGAGCTTCATCTCGATGCCAAAGCACCAAATCGGCACAGTCCACGAGATCCAGTAGATCAACAAAATCTAACAAGTCTCGGAGAGTACGAGAGCGAGAACTGCGAGAGCTTAATTTACGGTATCAACAGCAGTACGAGGGTTGAAAAGGACTCAGCGTTTTACACCATGGTGCCTTCCACTGTGCACTTTCATATTCATGTAACTCTCAACAACAGGTTGACCATTGTGGGTTCAAGAGAGTTTACACAAACCACTTCCTGCCAATTTAAAACTCTGAAAATTTAAAATTAATTTTCAGATTTTACTACAAATTTAATTGCTACATTCAGAAGAAAATACTGACCGACATTCAAAATTATAGTGGAAAATATTGAGCCAATGAGACTTTTTCTAATGAAATTTGCTAAATGTCTATGATTAAATGACTACTGTACATAAGAGGAGTAAAAGCAGATTGGCGTATCTGAAATTTGACTAAAGGGGTGTGAAATGTCAAGCCTCAGTGTGCTTGTTTTACTTCACAAGTTCAGTTGACTGCAGCTTTATAAGCTTGTGCTGGTTATTGTGATCTGCCTTGTCCATACACATTTTTTTCAATATCTTAACCCGATAAAGTTGGCTGCCAGTTTGCAAACAAAACTTTAATGATTTTTGTAATTCCAAGGCATAAATGAACATTACTGACTCAATAAATGTGCCTAATGTATACTTAATCTTCTATTGAAATTTCTTAAGTTGGTATAGGTGCATCAGGAATACATACAAAAGTAACCTTTTTCAAACGTGTATGTTTTCTATTTTTTTAAGCATCCTTGCATTTGCACAAATTTCCATTGCAATCCACACTGAAAAGGCCAAGTTTCCTTTCAGTTTGGAGCGAAGATATTTTGTGCAACAGATCTAAATTGTTTAATTAGCCACCATAGCCTAGAAATGAAAAAAATCACAACTGCTACATACGATTACTTTGTGTGCTTTCTCAATATTTCTTTTGATACATTTAACTCCTGACACTAAACGAGAACATTTGTGCACTGTCTGCCGGCACACATGCAGTTTCTCCCACTACTAATGGCTGGTGACTATACTGGTTTGCGCTTGCATCACCTTGTCCGCTGTTGAGCAGAACCTTGTCCCCTCACTCACTGCCTCCTGATTGCGTCCCCTCACTCACTGCCTCCTGCTTGCATCCACCTCACAAACTCTCACTCATTTCTTTTTGCTTGCCCCCCTCAATAAAGAAGAGTAAATGGCAACGTTTGCAGTTTCCAGATCATGGTGTAATATTTTTCGGCTGAGTTTGGTCTGTGCCATCTTCTGCTGACAGGTGCCTAGAATAACAGTTATAGAAACATCATATTGTAAGCATGCAGGCAGTGCTGCCTCTGCAGCGTGGGGTCACTAAAGGTAACCCTGACTTAAATAAGTGACCATGTACTTAGTTTGTGGTTATATCCTTAATTAGTGTGCCAAAAACTGCAGGGCTTGTGATGAAGGAGGCAGGATTATCCTGTTCAGTTAATGAAGTTATTGTAATAAATGATGTAAAACGTTATGTTGTGATGCTGCTGTACCAAATATATGTGAGCGATAACCTCAATATTAACAAAGCCACTTGCAGGTCTCCATGATTTCCAGGCTGGATGGGTGGACAAACTGGTGCCTTGTTGCCAGACTTCATTCTTTTATGTGAATGTATATGCATAGCATCAGCCCAGGGTGACTTGCTGTTCAGTCTGTCACTCTGGCAATCAGGGCCAACATACTTGAGGATCGAGCTGTTGGTACAGACCTGTGCCTTTCTGAAAACGTGGCTGTTTTGATAAGAGATCATTTCTAATGCTTTGTGTATTAATTTGCATCATGCTATAGGTTGATAAGGCACTTGTCTCTGAAAAGATGCAGTAAATAGCACTTATGCAGATTTATACTCATTTTAGTATCCCCGTACCAGATCCCATTCATTTTTCACCCTATCTCTGCTAAACCGCACAGTCTTCTAACATCTCTTCTGTAAAACTATTCTAGAGTTTGTCCTTCTTGGTCTTTTCTTTCCCAACAAATCCCTCAGTGTCTAACCCAAAATCTACATTCCTCTACCAGAAACTTTGTGCATAACGCTCCATTACCTCAGCATTACCACCTTTGTTTTGGAATCTGTTCCCTCTCCGCTCTGTCTTCCTTTAAGCAATGGGAGATGAGAATTGTATTCATGCAGTGTGTTGTGAAAATCAGGAATGCACCAACTGAGAAGGTGAAGAATCAGATTCATGAACTTTCAAAAATAATTTGGACATGTATTCGAGAAGGAAGAATGTACAGGGCTGTAACAAAAGAGCAGGGGTCTGAACTAATTGAATGGTTCTTTCAAAGAGCCACCCAGGCCTAATGGGCTGAATGGCCTCCTTCTGCACCATACATTTCTATGATTTCTTTAAAATTTCTTTAAAATCGATTTCTGCCTAAACATTTGTGACAGTTCTTATCTGATTATTTATCTGTGAAATATCATAGCCCTTTTTTTGGGTTAAAGCATTGTATAATTTGTTTTGAAAATATAGAAAGAAATAAGGCCATTACTCTTCCGTATCGAAGCAACATAATTTAAGATGCGATTCCATCCATTTACATGCGAATTTTGCCTGTGGTCTGTCATCTTCGCATGACACTGATAGTTGAAGCTGACTCAGTAGCTCAAGTCCCTTTAGAAGGATATTTGTAACATGGGCCCTTTGCATTCTTTTGTAATTGTGCATTGTTGAACAATAGCTTACTCACATTTTATGTTTCTGTCTTTTTGCTTTTTGTTGAGTATTTATCCATTTGTTGTATAATCAAGTCGATATTAAATGTTCAAAGTGGCATTAATCCTTTTAAGTGTATTAAAAGCAATTCATTCTTTATAAATCTTAGGTTTCTAATGCCTGGCACGGTATTTTTTTTGAGGGGAATGTGCGAAGGAATTCATCACTATTATTAGAAGACATTGTGGATTATAAATTGGGTCAAAATCTAGAATCCCTCCCTAACGCACTGTAGGTCTATCTAAACCAAATAGACTGTAGCAGTTCAAGAATACAGTTCACCTTCTCAAGGACATCTGGAGATGGGCAAAAAATGCTGGCCTTGCCATTGATGCCCACATCCCATTTTAAAAAAAAAAGTTGTGGAGCTAATTATGGCAAAAAACATGGTCATCAGGACCTCTAATATAACTCCCACCTATAATCACGCAAATGAAAACAGAACTTTGTGACATCTAAAAAGAAATAAGTCTTGAATATGACCAGTTATTAACAACTTCAACAAATTTGATTCTTATTTTGTTAATAATTTTCCCTGAAGATAAAGATAACTAATAACGTTATAGCAGTGAAAATACCCTTTATTAAAGGAATTTGATGGAGCAGTGTGGATATGCAAAAGCAGTTCATACATTAGTGGTCATATTTTAATGTTTCTGCCATGTGACCAGTCCTTGCATGATTTTTTTTCACTGCAGAAACCTATTTTTCTTTAGAGACTAAATGTCAGGAATCTTTAATCACTTAGAAATCTTGTTAGTTAACAGAAAGGTCTGGCTACTTTTAGAAATCTTTGGTAACAAAGAAGTCTGATAAGATGCACAAAAAATGCCGTTTTAAGAAAATCTCAATAGAAAATTTTTTCTGCTCTGCACTTACCAGAAATGCCATAAGCATCTAGGATTCTATATTATCAACATTTGATTTGAGAAGTCTTTAATGGCTAATTACTGACAATACTACACTGTACCATAAGAAATGCAGATTATTATATAAATATGTGTAGTATATAGTGTATGGTTAGGAACTTGTAGGTTTGAATGGGAAGGAATGCTTCTTGCAATGTAGCCTAAACACCAGTAATTGGAGCATGCATTCTGCTTCATTTAATATTGATATTGAAATGGATCTGTCTCTGGCCAATATGAATTGATTCATGCAATTACATTACTAAATTAAGTAGCTAAAATTATGCCTTCATTGTATTGTTGTGTCTATATTGAGCTCTGCTAAGTGGAGCAAAGATTAAAATTCACCTGATTTCTTGTCACCATCATGTTACTGTCAGTATTTTTATGTTAGTAAATAGTTTTGGTATTTCACTGTCAAAATATGTCAAAACCCACAATGTTAGTTCACTAGTTTGTGGGCAGTCACAAAAATCTAAATTCGTGGGATGCCAATGCAAGCTTTTCAAGAGGCAGTTTTCAATATGCACAGTTTCAAATAGTTGTCTGACATGTGCCATTAAATAGTTTGGTCTTCTGATAATTTGTCATTATTTGCTCCTTCCTTGTGTTATTACCAAATGGTTTGGGACAATCATGATTCTGTCCCATTATTATTTTAATGAAAGAAAGCTAGTCACTATGGCTTCAGCCATAGCCTTAGCTTGTTATTTTCACTAAGTGATCTCTTCAGACAGTTCATTTCTAAATTTTAGCAAGTTAGGGCTGAAAATTTTGAGCAGAATTTTAGTATTAAACATTAGTATTAAACCTCTGCTTCCATGATATGTGTGAATATAAACCAAACTGAGAACATGAATATTTCATTATTATTATTGGTACGAGTCATGATCTGGGTGGTTTCTGGCTTTCTAGCTCAACTACACAAGAACATCTGGTGACCAGTTTCAAGAAAGTGTTCATTTTGTGTTGTATTTTTAAAAAAATAGGTTTTTTTTCCAAGTCTGATTAATTGTACCCAATGTAAATATATGTTACGAATGCTGTGAATTAAGAGTCAGTAATACCAAGAGACTGCCACTTAATAAAATTCATTGGAACATTGTGTTTATAATACCATTGGAGAAGCAGGCCTTGCAGTTGTTATTTTTTAACCTTCATTGACAAGTGTTATTGCTCTGTATAGAAATATGTTGTAATTAATATTATTGATTCATTGTCTTTTTTTCTATCTGAACTGCACATAGGACCATTTGGATAATTTATCTTCCCGAGATCATTCAAGAAGCTTTCAGTATTCATGAGATGAATGTTGAATAAGAATTTAAAGTGGTGGAATTTCTCCAATTAATTTATATCCTCCTAAATATCCTTTGGTTAAAAAAATGTCAAGGCAAATGCTGTTTGGATTAGAATTTTTTTAAAAACCTTATGTTAATTGCTGGAGTTTTTTTTGTTTCTGTATAATTTAAGAGGAATTCAACTTCCTCAATTTTTGTTGCCTTAAATTTTGAACTTGTTAATAAGTTCACCGATTTACTTTTCTAATCTGGAAATGTGATTTTTTTTAAAATAAAACTAAATATTTAGGCAAAACGTGTGCCAGTATTTTCAACAATAACATCCCGCATATGCTAATTTAATTGATTTAAATTTCAGATCAAACAAAAATTATATTTCATAATTGTATGTCAATAATGATTTT